TATTCTATTCTATTCTATTCTATTCTATTCTATTCTATTCTATTCTATTCTATTCATGTTTTCCTTTGCAGTCTGAATCGTACCAAGAGGACATCTATCCAATGACAGCTGGAGTCCAGCCGTCATTGACAGCACAAGAGTGGCTGAATGGCACTAATAAAGGTTTGTGATACAATTGTTTGAACTGTCCGAAACAAAAGATTTTGTTCATTTATCTACCTGCATCACATTACATTAAAGGCAGATCTATCGTAAGACTGGGAGCCCACAGGTATACACAATAGCAATATTATAATCTGGATCGCAGTGTTTAGAATTCTCATAATAAACTGACAGTGTTCTTCAGCAATTAAAGCAATAACGGTAGAAGCTGTTTCTCTATATCTCTATTCTAAGGTATCACTCCTAATGTTTTACGGTAGTTGTTTGCTGGAGAGGTGTGCATGTGAAGGATCCACACCATTTATTCAGCCATAAGACTGAAATTGTAAATGCCACGGGCCCCAAAACAATCATGCATAAAAGTCAACTGTGAGAAGCATCCAAAATTTTCTCTGCTTGTTTTTCACTCTTGGGAATTGTATGTCAATTGCCAGCTAATTTGGGGTATTGTGGAAAGAGTACAGTACTTTGACCCATGATCTCAAGTAACTAGTTTAAATCTAAGTTGTTTTGAACATAAAATGAGTTCCAAATATCTTGGAAGAACTACATTCAATACTTGTGTAATAGGTGTGGAGTAGAATTCTTCCTTCAGATCTTTTGACAATGGCTCAACTCCTCTTCTTGTGTTAGTGCAGCATTTGCTTTCCTGGTATCGTTATATAGTAGAAAGGTATCAACTCCAGTCAATTTGATTGTGGGTGAGGCCTATTGCTGTATTTCACCTGGCCTTGCTCTACCAAAACCAAGGTAATGCAGTATGCCAAAATTTAAATTAATTGGTGTGAATTGAGGGAATCAACTTGCTCTGAATCAAAATTGTAATGCTTTGGTGTTGCGTACATTGCCCTAGCACACTAATCTAAATGCCCTTCTTGGAATGAATGAAATTTTCTTTTTTTTCTTCTTCTTGCGTTTTAGTGGCTTGGTTCTGAGGGTCTTTCAGTACTAGTTGCTATTGCTCCTCTTTGCCTTGGACAAAATTATTCTTTTCTGTGGCCTACAGGTCCTGTCTTGATGTCTTTGAGACCAGGTTCTGTGATCTTGAATTCTTTACCACCATTTCTTGAGAAGGAGATTGCCATGGAAGCAACCAAGCCTGTCCCATGCCGGGACAGAGTGACTGTTATCACCGAAAAGTTGAATGAAATCCAAGAGAAATGGGGGACCAGGAAGACCGAGGAAAGACAACAGCAAAACAGACTAATGAAGTTATCTAATGGCGTTGATACCTACGAATGTCCTCCACCTAAAACAGAAAATGAGGTACAGTAGTGTGACCGAGAAAAAGTTATGTTAGTGAGTAAATGGGATAAAATAGCTTCTTTCTCAGGAAGTACAAGCAAGATAGGAAACAAGGGCATGCCTCACTGGATTTAATAGTGACACAGAATTATTTCTTAGAAGCATATCTCTTTGTGCTCAATTCACCGATTCTGTTTTTGCTATGACCTCTCACTTGAATAGAGGACAGGATAAAACACATTTCTACACTGTTCTTCCTCTCAAATTCAACTATCTGATTATCTAATTCAAATAACTCCGTATTGGTGATAGGAAGGGCATCTGACTATTAAAACACTCTGCTAGTTCCATTCAGTTGTCCAGACTCCACCTCACAAGGGATTATGGGGTCGTTAAATGACGATATTTCTGTCTAAATTTCCATCATAGTCATTTTCTCTTCCTTGACTCTGTAGTTTCAGGTAGACCTCAGATGATTTTATGTATGATTGCACAAATGATATTTGAAGTCTTTACTTTCCAGCTGCTGCAGATGTTTTATCGACAACAAGAAGAAATTCGGCGGCTCCGTGAAGTGCTGATTCAGCGGGATATTCAGATCAAACAGTTACAGCTTGAGATCAAAAACCGTCATGTGGATTCTCGCCGATTTTGACAGGCTACCATTTGGAGTCTCAGAACTGATGTTGCCAGGAATCACTATATTTTGGAGATTATAAATTAGAAGAATTTCAGATTTATTGGCAAGCTATTGCCTACCTTGAGTGCCCATATCCTGCAAGCTGGAAGTTACTGGAAGTTACTGGATGAGTTTTGTGGTGCTCTATTTATCGGACTCGTTCTTTGCAGGAAAGTCCATGTTTCAAAGTAGTCCCATAATAACTCAGTTGGAGATGCTTCAAAGAGGAAGCCAGACCTGCCTGGGTATGAACATCTTTTCAGTCCCCGGTAGGCAACTGAACTTGGAAATACAGTTGCTTGGACTTTCAGCCTGTTTAGCATTCAACTGTTTCACATGGTGATGAACCAAATAGTTCAACCAAATTGTTCAGGATTCTTTTTGTTCTGCATTCTTGGATGGATCAGAATGATGTTGCACTGAATTAGTTTTGTTTCCTATAGCCAAGGAGAGTTTATGTGGGAATCGAAACCATCACCTTCTTAGTCTTATGAGTCATCTTCTTCTAAAATTATATTTATGCCTAAGAGGGTAAGGACCAAAGAAATGGGTGTCATTAATTTAAACAGGAAGTCAGAAATAGATGCTGCTGAGAGCCAAGCTTTGGAAATGAATGCTCTTTATTGAGATGGAGAAAATGAGACCACTGCTGCTGAAGTGGTCTTATCAGAGCCAGAGTGGAAGGCTTCTGTAGCCCAAGTCAATGTGTCTTCCATCTCAACCCATAATCTCTGAGGATCACTTCATGCCTTAAATTAACTAGGGGTTTTAATTACTAATGCTCTTAAAATGGCTTTCTTCCAATTGTCTGAAGCTGAATTTTCTACACACCGGTTCTTTCCTCCTTTATTACTCTGAATGTTGTACCAGATCTTATAAGTATATTGCAGTTCAGTGTGCAGAAGTGTGAAGAAACTTTTACCTAATTCTGATAATCCTCTTATCATCCTGTTTATCAGAAACAAAATTTTGAAACCTCTCAAATCGCAATACTTTTTTTCACTTTTCGTTTTCTGTTTTGATGCCTGTGACTAATATTTCACCTGATGTTTCTCATATTTGTTTTCTTGCTGATTTCTATGATAGACTATGCAAAAGCACTGCCACCAACAATTGTTTGAGAGCAGGATCAACTACTCCAAAGATTATGAAGCCCAAGATGGAGGGTCAGAGATGCACCAGTCATAATAAAATTGTAAAATACAACTTCTTTTATAGTTTGAGACATTTGTGCAAGGTTTAAGAAAATTCCAAAAAATAGAAAGTTAGAATTAATAATACAGAAGACTGAAGAATATTGTTTAAACATTTAATACAGAAATACCACTGTTCACCCACCCTCTGTACTGCTTCTGTGTTTTATGACTTAGCCTATAACTGTGATGGCGAACCTATGGCACGTGTGCCACAGGTGGCACGCAGAGCCATTTGTATGGGCACGCAAGCCCCAGGCAAACTTATCTCACTGCGCATGTACACGCCTCACGGCTGATTTTCAGCCTGTTTGAGGCCTTTGTTGGCCTGCCAGAGGCTTGAGGGAAGCCTTTGCAGGCCGAAAATTAGGCCCGTTTCGCCACTTCGGAAGTGACAAAATGGGCCTATTTTTTTCGGCCTACAAAGGCTCCAGAGGCTTCCCTCAAGCCTCTGGAAGGCCGAAAAAGGCCTCAAACGGGCCGAAAATCAACTGGGAGGTGCAATGCAGGTAAGGGGGGTGGCAGCGGGGATCATGTGCATATGTGCCGGGGGCAGGGGGCGCAATGCCTTCTGAGTGCTGGCATGCGAGCATACGCACGCAAGCGCACGCACAATTTTTGGCACAGGAGCCCAAAAAGGTTAGCCACCACTGGCCTATAAAATTTAACATTTTTTTTCTCTTACACTTCTATTTTACCCTCTTTTTCCTTCAAGACCAAAGTTAGTTTACTTTATTGTCATTGCACCTCATACAACAAAATCAAACACCATCTTCAGTGCACATCATGACCATGAAAATAAACACACACATCCTTCACACTCCATACATTGAATTGAAAACCCCCAATACCACACCAACACTGCACTATACAGTAGAATTCAACAGAGCTATGCTGCCCTGGGATAGAAGGTTTTTTCAGCCTATTTATCCTTGTTTTTATTATTCTGTTAAACGATTTCTTTTAATCCATCATTAAATTGAAACATTCCCTAGTGCAGGGGTCCCTGGCGCCTGTCCTCAGCATGCCAGAAACCAGGCTGCACAAACAAGTGAAGTCTCATCTGCGAGATGCAGGCAGCACATGAAACCGCCCCCCCTCTGGTCCATAGAAAAATCTAGCCCTACAGAATTAGTCCCTAGTGCCCAAAAGGTTGGGTGCCACTGGTCTAGTGGGTTGATAAAGTTGCCCAAGCACATCTTTCTCTTTCCCATATTTTTTCCTATACTATTTCCCCTCACTTCCGCACCGCTTTTTTGAGCAGGAACCCATCCCCAACTTACAACTTTGTTTATTGACCATTTAAAGTTAAAACAGCACCCAAAAAATGGGCTTCTGATCATTTTTCACACGACCATTGCAGCATCCCCATTTATCATCACATGATCAAAATTCAGGCACTTGACAACTGGCATGCACTTAATGACGGTTGCAATGTCCTGGTGACATGCGGTCACCTTTTGCGACCGTCTGATAAGCAAAGTCAATGGGGAAGCCAATTTCACTTTAACCTTGTTATTAACGTAACAACTGTAATGATTCATTTAATCACCATGACAAGAAAGATCATAAGAAATTGTGGGCTCTATTGTGGTTGTAAGTGAAAGAATTCCTGTGTAGCAGAAGCTGCATTTCTTTCCTGAATTGTACTATTCAGATCTCATGGGTAGGGGAGACTCTCAATTCAACTCTGCAAAAATGACCTCCTTATATACAAACAGCTATGTTCTGGCTCAGCTTTTTCTTTGTCCAATTTAATAAACCGCCATTCAATGGATTTTGGGTGCAACAGACCAAATTTATGTTTGGATTTCAAATGTGAAAGGACAAGTCAATTTTTCCTGTAGGCTGTTGGGACTACTGACATAGGTAGTGATATAAATAGTTTACATCATTTGCATAAGATAAATTATGTTAGTTTGGATTTAATAAACACCCCAGTCACGATTTTAAATTAAAGTTAATATGTACGGGGAAGAAAATTCAGAGCTGTAGATCCCTCAGATATCAGATGCTGTAATCCAATGTTATGGTTCGTGTTGCTTAAATATGCTTTTAAAGAAGTATTCACAATGGTACAAAAGACATAATGGAACTTCTATTTACCAAGCTTTATGCATATAAAATGAATTGGCCTCTGTAATAATCCCAGTAATTGGTATTAAGTGCTCATGGGATTTTAATTAGCACCCTTAAAAAAACTGGTATATTTGCATAGGTTACAGTTGGGATCAAGATATTAAAACAATTCCAGTCATTTAGGAGATTAGCCAGATGAATTATTGTCTTCAAATTATAACTTGGGGCATAATTGTAGAGTCAGAAAGATGAACTTGGGGAAAGGAGGCAAGAACAGTTATCTAAGCAAAGAGGGATATAACACAGGGAAGTAAAACACAACCAGAGTTGCAAGATTCTACTGCTATAGGCTAATCGCAAAGAGTATAGCTGCAACCTTTCTGTCAGTTTCCTGATTTGGGCTACCTTGTAGGGCTGACAATAGAATTACTCTTTTCTGTAGCTAATCTTGGATATATGGTAAGATACATCTCCACTTTGTATTTTTGAAAAATCAGACTAAATGTAGATTAAACAACCAATTGGTACGAGTCCATCTTTTCTTATTAATGCATTATGAGCTGATAGATGTTTGGGATGCAACATTTTGTTGCAAAAGTAGAAATGCAGCCAGTTAGGGAAACAAAATTTTTGGATTAAGGACGACGATAGCTTGCAATTTGGGAATTTGTCTTTTTTATCTTGTTTACAGGCAAATAAATTATTTAAAGTATTTGTCAGCTTAAGATAAAGGGAAAGGGTTTAAATTGCATTTCTAAAGTGTGCTTTTTGATTTTTTTTTTTTGCATATTTTTATGTATTGCTTTGATCAATGTTAGCCATTTATCAAAGGGATTGAAAAATTCCAAATCTACTTGAAAAATGTATATATGTACTGCTTTTTGTTCTGTTTACCAAGAAACTTGTATAAAACAAATTAGCACTTGAAAGTTATTTTTAAAAATTACTCTTGTTTTTAAAAACACTTTTGAAATAGTACATGCAGACCAAAATTTTAGCCATGTATGCTTTCTGAGGCAGAGGGAAAGAAAAGAAAAATCTATATACAGTGATGACAAACTGATTATGCTTTATTAAATAGCGCCTAACTATATTTAAAGATATATGGGTGGTAGTATTTTTTTTTCTATTACAGTGATTTAAAAGCAAGGAAACTTAAAATGCCATTGGGGACATATCCCCATATGAAAGAATGACAAGGCTTGTACTTAATAAATACAAGGAATGATCTTTGAAAAGCTAAGCATTGTTAATACTTATACCAACCATGTAACTATGGAAAATCCTGTTACTAGTCTACAAGAACATTTTACTATTGCTTAATCACACATGCCATAAAGGATACCTCAACAGCTTTAGTCCATATATGTCTCTTTTTTTCCTTAAAGCTGAAATTCAATCAAATGGCTTTTTAGTAAGGCTGGAATTAGAACCTTCCCTTACAACAAAACTGCTGATTGGCAGGATTGCAAAAACTATGTAAAGAAACCTTAGAAATACATCCTCTGATATTTCATTTAACAGGTTCCAGAATTCACCTTTTGATCAGAAAAACATTACCAACCAAGTGCTACTACTGAATTTCTATCAAATACTGAAACATGTGCATTAAGCCAGAATCCTTTACACATGGCAGCAAATTCCTCTGGGTACAATTACAGCTACTATTATCCTATATGCATAGGATTATAGTATTAGTATGGCTATTTGAAATACTTATGCAAAATAGCTAAAAATACGGCTACAAACAATATCTGAATAAGTAACACGTCTAGATAGAAAACTCTTGTGAACACCTAAAATCTTCCAAGCCTGGTACTGTTCATTCATAACCTGGAAGCACATTAACTTCAAAAGTCAGTTTTCTAAATTTACTTACATTGTAAATTGTACAATCTGTGAAGCTGGGGAAAAAAATAGAAGCAGGGCTTCCTGGGTTATTTACTTGCATAGCAAAATAAATTACCTAACCTAAACAACCTTAATAGATCAAAGAATCCAGATTCTGTTTTATTTCACAAATGCAGAATATTCACAACCCTGTCTACTAAAGTTTAAGCAAAAACAAAAAAAGGCACATTTTCAAACCTCTCTGAATATAATAACTGCGAGATTAGTTTATCAAATAACATTTATTTAATTCAAGTTCTTAAAAATACTTTTTCTGTTGTTGCATAAAACATCCTAATGTAAAAAATATCCAATGGCTTAGAAAAGGAAAAAAGGCAGGGAAAGCAAAGCATGAAGAGCAGTCCCCAAAACTTTAGGACTCTATTTACAAAGCCTTGTTGGACAGAGAGTAAAAAGGGAAGTACAGTCAGTGGGTGATGCGGAGCCCCTATAGCCAGGACTGGCCCATCGCGCTTGTTCTTCTTGCTAGGGCAATGGGAAGAGATGAAGGCCTGGGAACTCCCAAGGGGATAAGTGAAGGTGCTAGCCCAAGAAGGCTAGGTCTGTAACCACCTGGAGAAATCAGCTGCAGGGTACATGGAATGTCACAGGAATAGCCGACTCTTTGGCTTTTTTTGAGTGCTGCGCTTGGAGGGGGAGAACTACAGGTGCGTCACACGTGCTCCTCAAGTCACAGATCATCCAAGGGGTACCCCAAGAAATACTGAACAGTCCTTTGGAGACACAGAGGAATTCAGTCGTCATCTTCCTCCCCTTCGTCATCAGTTTCTCTTTTTCGTTTTTCACCTTTCCTATTCTCTTCTTCATCTGCAGAACAAGGGAGAAATTTTTCCATAATGACTATTCCAAGAACATACAGTACATTCAGTTGAATTATCTAATAAGCCTATTACAGGCTCCATAAAGGAAGAAGTTTTAGAAACCTCCCCAAATGATTTACTATTGACCATGCTGACCGGATGTAGTAACCATTTTAATTAAAAATACCTGAAAAATACCTCATCTCTACGTATAGAAAAGCAGCTAATGGTACACATTGTTTTATACAGTCGCGCCAGGAATGACTGCTTCTGGAATCCAGCAGGGATGGTCACAATGGCAATCAGGTGACCCAGTTCACTACAACATTGTCATCGTAAGCTGGGCAGTTCGCAGTTATGACGTTGCAACAGGCATTGAGATGTTGCAACAGGCAGAATTTTGGGGATTGAGTATAAGTCTATTTTTTTTTTTTTCAAAACCTCCATAATGATCCCCAAACAAATCGAAATAGGGTGCATTCTAGTACTGAATGGCCAACAAATCATTATTATCATCTTCCAAACTTGCACTGTTATTTCACTGGTACTTTTACCAACACTTTTATTTAACGTTCCTGAAAGTTTCTAAAATAAAAAGACTGGCATCAAAATTTACACATACCTTCTTCCTTTTCATCATCGTCATCGTCATCATCATCTTCCTCATCTTCTTCACTGTCATGGACAACCTTTTCCTCCTAAAAACAATACTAGGTTTGCCTTAGAAAGTACAGCATTTTTCAGCGTATAAGACGCTCCAAAGTATAAGACGCACCTAGCTTTTGGGGAGGAAAACAAGAAAAAAAAAATCTGCCTCTGCCTCCCAGCAATTTGCTTCTTTACAGCAAACAGCCTGTTTCAGCTTCAGCACAGCCTGACAAGCAGCTGATTGTTGGTTGGATCGGCCTCCCGATCAGCTGTTTCCAGGCTGCAGGGATTGCCATAGCTGCTTCCGCGTGCCCCATTTTTGGCCTCCGCGTGCCCCATTTTCAGCCTCTGTGCGCCCCATTTTTGGCCCGTTCCAGGTGGCAGGGTGCTGGCTTGCTCTCTCTATAAAAGCCCTATAAAGCTCTACATGGGGTAGGCCTGGTTGCTTGGAAGCACCTGAATCCCACAGCATCTGCCTGGTGGATTTGATCCTGCAGGTCAGCATGCTCCAGGTTCCACTGATCCACCTATCAGGACCTCAGAAGAGCACCTTCCATAGCAGTGCTTGTTCTCTATAACAAGATCCCCCTCAAAATACAGATGATCCCCACTCTACTGTTGTTTTAGGAGAACGGAGAAGATGTGGCTCTTCATCCAGGCACTTGGTAAGGGAGATACTTGCCATCTAACTTTTATGTTTCACTGATTTTGTTGTAATTTGTTTGACTGTTGTAAGCGGCTCAGAATCATTTGGGGCGTGATGGTATGCTTGTAACAGTACTAGAAGTAATAAAAAGAATAGCTACTCTTCTTGTAATTTGATAAATAAGCATAAAATTTTACTGCGGAGTAAAGAGAAAACAATATTTTAAACCAACCTCTCCACTATTTTCATCTTCTTCATCTTGTCCCCCTTCATAACCAAAGAAACCATAAAATGAATCCTCGTCTTCGTCCTCGTCCTCATATATGTCGTCGTCATCGTCATCATCATCTTCTGAGAAAGATAGAAGAGTTTATATATATCAAATAGGGAATCTATCATAAAATCACAATGATATTAATTTCAAAGGATTTCCTTTTAGATATTATTCTACAAACAACTGCCAAAAAGAGCACATATTGATATCGACTAATGTTTCATAAATTATATCCAGACTTGCGATTTATAAGTTAAGCAGAATGAAAGACAGTATGAGTTTAAATTGTCAGTCTAAGAGAGGTTGGGTAATAATTTGCAATCTGTTACAACATTGTACTATATTACTACAGATTCCTTCATATATTATGATCTGGATCCCCAATGTTATCCCCTTTGAGTGTCCATGTATCCCTACAAATTTCACTAGGCATCCACCAGGCTCCATGCCCCCAATGGTAACTCTGCCCATCTATTCAGAAAACAGCAAATTGAGTTACAACCATACAATCAGGCAAAGGCGATAAAAGGGAACATCACATTCCAGTTTTTCTTCTGTAAAAGTGATGTGTTTTGTGATCTATCATATAAACCATAATAGTTATTCTATGCTTTAAAACTGATCTTTCTCAGCTCACATAAGTATTTTTGATTCAAATACAGTGGATAAAAAAAAAAATCTACAGACAAATGCCAGGTTTTTTTGAAACGTAAAAATATCATAACAAGATAAATCACTTCCAATTTTTTCCACTTTTAGTGTAGCATAGCATAACATAATTCAATTGAAAAACAAACTGAAATCTTTCAGGGGAAAAATAACTAAATATATTAATAACATGGTTTTATATGCAGGGATGTATGTGGCTGTGTTTACAATTAACCAATCACATTCAAACATGGTAAATACACAGTATACACCTGCAGTACACACATCAATTAAAGTGACTCTGATCAAGCCCATATAAAGTTCAGCTGTTGTACCAAGATTTTTCTGACATTTACTCAGTTGCCTCTGACAGCAATAACCACAGTCTTGCAAAAGAGCTTCCAAAGCATCAAAGGGATCTCATTGTTGGAAAGTACCACTCAGGAAAAAGGTACAAAAAATCTCCAAGCATTTGATGTATCATGGAACATAATGAAGACAGTCATCAACAAGTTGAGAAAATATGGCACAGCAGTAACATTAGCTAGAACTGGATGTCCCTCCAAAATGATGAAAAAACAAGAAGAAAACTGATCCTAGAGGCTGCATCAACATTAAAGGATCTGCAGAAATTTTTGGAAAGTACTGATTGTGTACTACATGTGCCGACAATATCATCTATTTTTATATGTTTGGTCTGTGGGGTGGGGTGGCAAGACCAAAGCTTTTTCTTAAAAAGAAAAACTTCCAATCCTAGCTATATTTTACAAAAGCCTACACCAAGTCTGACAAAAGCATATGGAAAAATGTGTTATGATCTGATAAGATCAAGGTTGAACTTTTGGGCCATAATTCCAAAAAGTATGTTTGGCACAAAAACAATACTGTGTGTCACCAAAAATATACTACATCAACAGTGAGGCATAGTGATGGTGGCATTATGCTTTGGGCTGCTTTTCTTCTGCTGGAACTGGGGCTTTAGTCAAGATGGAGGGAATTATGAACAGTTCCAAATATCAGACAAATTTGGCAGAAAATCTTTTAGGTCTTTGCTGAAGATGAAGAGGAATTTCACCTTTCAACACAACAACTCAAAGCATAAGTCTAAATCAACAAAAGAATGGATTCACTAGAAGATAAACGTTTTGGAATAGCCCATCTAGAACCCAGACCTGAATCCAATTGAAAGTCTGTGGAGAGATTTGACAAGTCTGACAAGAGTCCCTCATTATCTGACAAATTTGGAGCGCTTTTGCAAGGAAGAGTAGGCAAAGGTTCCCAAGGCAAGATGTGCCATGCTGATAGGCTCTTTTCCCAAAAGACTGAATGCTATCATAAAATCAAAAGGTGCTTTAACAAAGTATCATTTTAAGGGTGTAAAGTTATACAACCACATTATTGTACATTTTTACTGTTGTTTCCCCCCTTAAAAGATTTCACTTTGTTTTTTAATTGAATTGTACAGCTTATGTGTTATATTAAAGGTGGAAAAAATCCAAAGTGCTATATCTTGGTCTGATTTTTTTACATTTCAAAAATATGGTATTTTAACAGAGTTTTGTAGACTTTTTATAGCCACCATATGGCAGAAAACATTTCAAATTTGGTAAATTAGTTTAATGCAGTGCTCCAAATGACTCAAATATCATATTTACATTAGGCAGACCTTGGCCATAGCCAAAAATTAACCTTTTACAATCCACAATTAATATGATTAAGCTCACCCTCCTCATCGTCCTCATCAAAACCATCTACTTCAGCATCTGAGTCAGAAGCCTCTTTATCTTCCTGATCAAATCCATCCAGATATGTGAGTTGTGGAAGAAGTGTGAAGACACACTCTCGGTAGTCATTTAGATTTGTTACTTCACAGTTGAACAGGTCAAGGCTCTTCAGAGAGTCCAACTTTTTCTGAATTAAAAATATGTTTTTGTTAGTTTTAAGCTAACATTAGCATTAATATATTGACATCATACACAAACCTGGCAAGGTATGCTCATAATTTCAGTTTGGATCAGGAGGGGAATGAGATAAACAAAGCCATGTACTGAGCTAATACAGCATATTCTTTCATGACATTCCAAATTAAATATGATTTCACAATGTAATTAACCTAACATCCCTGAAAAACAAGCCTTGAATTTTGAACTTACCATATACATTTCTCACTTAGTCAATATCATAACAGGAATATTATATAATATAATAATATTACATTTATTATTAAAACATTTTTAAAGAAATCCCCCTTAATCAGTGTGAATTAATCTAAAGCTATTTCAGTTCATTGAAAGATCCCTTTCTGTTTTTTGTGTGAAAAGAAAAACAAGATCTAGTGATGCCATCTCCTTGACATTCTACTTTTTTTTAAATGAAGAGTCCCTTCTTCCCTGTCCATGAGACACTTCTTTCTATCTCACACTGAACTCTTATATTCTAGGTTGGATAATAGCAAAAGCAGACTGTGTACAAATATGACTTCCTCCTATTTTAATACATAGTTCCATATTAGTTAATATTTTAGGATGATTTGTAACAACAAGTTATTGTTGTCTGGCATTACAACTGACCTAAGCAGCTTTAATATTCTGATTTTTTGTGAGGTAGAAAAACAATTTAAGAATTATAATCTACCAGGAAAAAAAAGTGTCATCTAATCAGAAAGAAACCACATGTATTGACATGAAAACATAATAATCTTGAATAGAAATATAGTATCAATGCTAACTTAGATTATACCAACAGTCGACAAAGAAATTAAACTGTCCTGCACAAACATTTCAATGCTCTCTTTAAGATGAACTAGCATCTTCTTATGCCTACTGGAAAGCATATACCTTTCCAAGATATTAGCTACTGAAATGGGGTTAGGCTCAAATGCTGAAAGTTATGTACAAAATGTAACACATGTGATTTGGACACATTCAGTGTGAGTTCAACATCTACCACTGGTATTAGTATTGTTAACTCCACTTAGACATATGATAACCTTTTCATGACATACCAATGGTTCCAAAGTATCAATATCCTTCAGTTTATTTCCACTGAGATTTAAATGTGTGAGGTTAGGAAGTTTTTCTGCTAATACATCAAGGCCTCCAGAAATTCTGTTCTCACTGAGTTCAAGCTGCAATGAGAAAAGAGATACACAGGGGAAATGGCACATTAGCAATAATGCAATTAGAATTCAAGAAGTCTAAAGATGCAGTATAAGTAACATTGATGGCCCAGGCAGTCTTCATTATCAAGTACTAACAAAAAGCAGACGAATAAAGAGATGTTTAAATAGTTCGGTTACTTAGCTAGAATGCAGTTCTGCCAGGAATTACATCTTGTTAATTTACATTATAAGAAATACAATCATACAGTGTTGCCAAACAAGATCCAGTCTATCACCCAAATCAAGATATACAGGCCCGCATGGTCGTTTTTCTAGATGGATTTCTTCAGTGGAATCCCAAGAACTGCAACTTGGTGAAAATTGTCTTTTGGATATTTGTTGTTTCCTTACAGAATTGCAGCAACCTGAATATTGCTTGGAAACAAGTCTATGTTTTAAAATACAATGTTTCCCCCGAAATAAGACCTGGTCTTATTTTCTTTTGAGCCCCCAAATAAGCACCAGGTCTTATTTTCAGGGGGCATCTTAATTACTTACCTTAGGACCACTGCAGCCAGGCCACCCATGCTCTGACACCTGTCGTGCCAGTGCCCAACTTCTTCTGCAGCCACTTGTGGCCAGACACAGTGTGGCACTGGCACAATGCACCATGTGGCATCCAGCTGTGAGCAGTCACAGAAATCAAGCAATGGTGCAACAGGTGTCGGGGTATGGGAGGCCTGGCTTTAGCGGTCCTAAGGTAAGAGGGTATGGGACGCATGGAACAGCTCCTCTCCCACCTCAGCTTGATTTTTATGTATGTGCCTCACCTCGTACAGCCAGTGGGCAGGGCTTAACTAGGGCTTATTTTTGGGATAGGGCTTATATTAAGTGCAGATGTGAAAATCAAGCTAGGGCTTATTTTTAGGGTAGGTCATATTTTTGGGGAAACACGTTAATTAGGGCAGTGATCCCCAACCTTTTTTACGCCGCGGCCCGGTACCAGCATCAGCTGGGCGCCGCCATCTTTTTTTTATGAAAACGTGCTTCCGGTGAGCTTTCTACCCGGAAAAGCTCACCGGAAGCACTTTTTCATCAAAAAAAGATGGCGGCGCCCAGCAAGCCAGCGGCCCGGTAGGACTTGTTCCGCGGACCGGTACCGGTCCGTGGACCGGTGGTTGGGGACCCCTGAATTAGGGTAAGTCTAAGTCAATATCTTTTAAAGATTTTTAAGGTTTCAAATTTGCAGTGTCATGTCTTATCAGCAATTGCACTAAGACAGATCTAACATCCTTGTTTTCTATTAGGTAATAGAATTGTAGCACTTTAACTGCTTCTTCTCCTGCAGCATTAAATAACTGAATTACTATTTCACCTGAACCTTGTCAGTTCCTGTTTAGAGCTGAATAATCACTTTGGTGATGTTTATATTACCTGCCTTTTCTCAAGGAATTCAGGATTGCTTATATGGGCTCCCTGTACTTTATCCCGACAACAAACTATGAGTAAGTTGGGCTGAGAGTGACAATTCTCATATCTCATTTTCTAAAGCAATTACTGAACATATTCTTTCTCTACAAATGTTTGTCAGTCTATAATTCTGTTTGTCAAGAATTTCAGTATGATTTTTCTATCTTCCTTTAAGTTCAATTGCTTTCCCAAACAAACAAAATTGTTCCTTTGATCAAAAAGCAACATAAAATATCATAAAATGAAAGAGATACAAAAGAATTACAACAATATATGAAATATTAACATAATTATATTTTTAGATCAAACCTAAATTTTATGAGTAAAATCAAGTCATAGGGATATGAAAGGCAATGAAAGTGAAAAAATACACTCCATAAAATAATGCAAAGCAATTGTTAAACATGCGTAACCCAAGTAGAAATTCAGTATCAGCTGAACTTTGCTCTAAAGAAACAATTATTACAACCAAAGACCAGGCAGATAAAATGCACTATTTCAGTAATATACAGTATAAAATGAATCTCTAAAGGATGCATCAACACAATGTAGCTTTTGGTTGCTATACACATAGATATCTTGTTATTCTTGTTCAGTCTTCCTATTTTAACTGTGCTTTTTTTCTGTAGTCTTGGCTGAACTTCTTACAATACAAATATTTCTTTCTCTTTGATTTCTTCCATATCTTGATACTCTTTACTGAGATATATTTCTTTACCATTCCTTGAAGTTGGTGTTTGGTTTCTGTATGTCCTTCAGGCTTTAATCCATGTTTTTTCTTATTCTGAAAGCCATTTTAATCTTTTTCCTTTTACATTTTTGTAACATTTTTGCTTCTCATTCTCATTTATCTCTTTCTACTCTTCCAAGTAGAAATATGCCAAATTTGTTGATACAATTTTCACTACAATTTTATGTTCCTAGATATTATGAGTTTTGTGCACATTACTCTTTGGATTTTCTTTTGCTTGAGTGTACTAAATCAGATCCTTATATATTGCATGTCCTCTAGCTGAATGACACACCTATTTCATTTTAATATTAATCTCTATAATTCATAGTTTGAATCACACAGCCTCCAGGCATTTGGGCAGAACCTTGACAGCCTAACTTGGCTGACCTGGCCATCTGGAGTGCATTTTTCCATCTTCTGGTTTCTATTATGCAAGCAAGTTGACTTCCATGTTTGTATATCCAGGAGTTAGAGCATAGTTTTATTATTTGACATTGGATATTGCCAATAAACATTTTTTTTCACAGAATTATATTAACCTCCTTAGAATAGAATAAGCGATGGAAAGGGCCTTTGGAGGTCTTCTAGCCCAACCCCCTGCTTAGGCAGGAAACCCTATACCATTTCAGACAAATGGCTGTCCAATCTCGTCTTAAAAACTTCCAGTGTTGGAGCATTTACATCATTTACCGTATTTGCCGGCGTATAAGACGACTGGGCGTATAAGACGACCCCCCAACATTTCCACTCAAAATATAGAGTTTGTTATATACTCGCCGTATAAGACTACCCCCTCTTCCACACACCTTCCACTTTTGCACTTTTTTTTTTTTTTGACGCACTTTTCTGCTTTGGACAATTTTGAAATGAGCTAATCCAATTTTGAACCAAGAATATGCAAATAGCTATGGAGTTTAGAAATGAGTTTTAAAAATATTTTTCATTGCTTACCATTAAGCGTAAAATATGTTGTAAATAAAATGAGAACACAGGAAACATTCTCTTCTCAATACAGCTGATCTCTCTCTCTCTCTCTCTCTCTCTCTCACACACACACACCAAAAACCCGGACACTGAAAAGGCTGCCAAGGAACAGTATATTCAATGCCTTCTCTTTAATCAAGAAACAAGGAATTCCTTAGAATCTTTTTTTTTCCCCAAGTGGCCCTCTTTAAAAAAAAATATGGAGGTAACACTTTCATTCAAAAAGTCTTCCAGTATCTGGAGTCGCTCAGACATATTGAAGTGAGGCAGGAGAGTAAGTGAAATTTGAAATGATCCAGCTACCGTTTTCTTCCCCTCCCGCCCGAAGGCCATTATCTCCACGTCAAAACGAACGAGGGGAGGCAAAGAAGCCAAACACGCTAAAAAGGATCTCTTTATTTTCCTACACAAGGTCACACCTACTTTTCCGCATTCAAAGGACAACCTCTCCTCACCACCACCACACACACACACACACCCCAATACCCGCAAACAATGTTCTGGGCATTAATCACCATTGCTACATTAACCTGGTAAATTTATACCCTGCCTCCCCCAGTGTTGCTTTGACAGCAGGATTTCACACAGCGGGGCGCTCGCTCGCTCTCTTCTCCGCTCTCCCACCGTTCGCACATGTTGGAAGCACCGTAAAACCTGATAACCCACCCGGGGGCTCCCCCATCCTTAACCTACAGCCGCCCGCATGCAAAACCTGCGTGCAAAAAGAAAAAAAGAAAAAGAAAAGTACGCCGCACGTGAGGATCTTCGAATCCTCTCCTCCCCACACCGCTAAGGAAGGAAGAGGGGGAAAGGTTGCGCAGCGCGTGGCGAGTGACACCCGCCACACACACACACACACACACACACACACACACCCCGCTCCCCCCCCAGCCTCCCTCCCGGCTGCAACTCAAGCTCGAAGTGGGAGTCGGAGTCCTCCCGGCGTATAAGACGACCCCCCCACTTGGAGGCATGTTTTTCAGGGCAAAAAAGTCGTCTTATACGCCGGCAAATACGGTACGTCTTCTGGAGGTAAGGTGTTCCACTGATAAATTGTTCTAATTGTCAGGAAATTTCTTCTTAGTTCTAGGTTGTGTCATCATTTGTTTTAAAAGTTTCAGACATGTCAAAAAAGGTTTCTGGCAATATAATGCAGAGGTTGTTTGCCACTGACTTCTAATATTTTATTTTGTAGTTTGTTGCCCGAGGTAGGGTCTCTCTCTCTCTCTCTCTCTCTCTCTCTCTCTCTCTCTCTCTCTCTCCCTCCC